CAGTAGATCCACGTGTTCTGCTCCCCACTGTGTCTCTGGTGAATCATTTCATTCTCCCCAGCACCTCTGGCTTGTACCCCAGTTGTTTTATGCATAAGTAAATAAATCTTTTAAAAAAAAAGGCAAGGGAAGTGATTTTCTGAAGATCATCTTTTTCAGGACTTACACTAAGTACTCTTGGTAGATAACTCTCATGATAGCCTCGAGAGGCAGTTACTGTTGGCCCCTATCTCATGGATGAGAAGACTGAGGTTGAGAGATTCCATAGAGCCCTGATTAAATCCCACCAGGATGTGCTCTCCCAATCGATGCAATCTCATTTGAAAAAAAAAAATGCTCACCTGAGGCTAGAATCTTCATTATTATACCCTTAAGCAAATCTTTAAAAGGTATTTGGATAGGCTATTTTATGAAAAAGGAAACTGAAGCCCAAAGAAGTGAAGTGATTGTCATAGCAGCAGAAATTTGGCCTGTTGCCAATGGTTGTGGGCCTTGGCCTACTATTGTTTTAAAAGCCCTGCATTGGGCCTACCTAAAGGAGCAGAGGGTTAAGTCTCAGCACTGTGAATCTATCTGCAGCCACAGCAGCATGTGTTTGATTCCCAGCCAGAGAGCGGACTCACGTGGCACAGCAGACCTCTCCTGTCGCCCCGCTGCTCCCCTCAGCAGTATATTTCAGTAGATCTGCCTGTTCTGCTCTCCACTCTGTCTCTGCTGAGTCCTCTCAATCCCCGCCCCTCAGGCGTACACCCAGCTCTTGGATGCATAAATAAATACATCTTTAAAGGCCCCGAACACCCCATGTTCACAGCATTATTACTCCCAATAGCCAAGTCGTGAAAACAAAGTGTCCATCAATGACTGGACAAAGAATATGTGACCCTCTACTTCTCTCATTGGGATATTATACAGTCATAAAAAAACAAAATGAAACAAAACAAGGAAACCCTACCATTTGCAACAAGCCATGAAGACTTCAAGATAAGTGGAATATAAGCCAGAGAAAGACAAATGCTGTATTATCTCACTGACAGGTGGATCCTAAAGCAATCAAATGAAAGCTTTTAGACAAGAGATCAGACAGAAGATGACCGAGGCAGAAGGAGGAAGAGGAAGGAAAATTGGAAGAAGGGGGTTCAAAGGTCCAAACATCCAGCTGTAAGATCAACCCCAGGGATGTCAACTGCAGCATGCAGGCGCTGGCACAAGCGTGCACGGAAGTGGTTGAGGGTAAAGCCTACGAGTTCTGTGATGGGGAGAACTGCCCTCTCTTGCTGTTTTTCCTCTGTAATTTTGATTTTATCTTCCTGAGGAGATGGATATTGGCTGAGGCTATTGAAGCCACTTCACAAGATGCGTAAAGTACCATTCTCTGCCTTCAACTTAGAGTGTGGCGTGTCAATTATTTCGCAATGAAATGGGGGGGGGGACACTGAATACTCGATACATCCTTTAAGAAAACTGCCCTGCATGAACTGCCTCTTCCACCCTCTGTCAGCAGAAGATAAGAGTCCCTCTTCAGAGAGGCAGGGGCTGCCTGTGGACCTCAGCCTGAACCCCAGAGCAGGGCGCAGCTGGTCTTTGCAGTGTGCACTCATCCACTAGATGTGTCAGCCCAGCGTTATCCTCCTGTCTTCATTCCTTTGGCGCCACGGTTGGTGAGGTGAAACAAATAAAACTCAATGTTCTTTCTGGCTGGGCCAATTCAGGACTCTTACAAGGATGAATATGACCCACCTTAGATGCCTACTATATCAGAGCTTGAATTTTCGAAGCACACTGTCATGCTGCACTGGTGTTCGTTCACTTGGGAGACACATGACAAGAAGTGAATTGGCTCACCAGTGTGCATGCTGTCCACTTTGGTGACAAAAACCACTCTTTGTGGAAAGTGTAAATGCTTTTTACAAAATTTGAGGAAGTGGGAAAGAGTGTTGAGAATGTTCAGAAGGGAGAAGCGAATGTCGGTAGAGAGTCCTATGCTCTCTGTTAGAAGTGTAATTTCTTTGACATTGTTTTCAATGATTTTGCTCAGATTTGAACAGAGGACACTGCTGTCACCCCTGTAATATAGGGCCAGAACATCTGATGACAGCCTGGCAGGTTCCCATGTGTTATGTACAGCACAGGAGACTGGACCTTGACTTTTCCCTGGGATGAGGCCCCAGCACTTTGGCCATGGAGGAAGTCGAGAATGCTGTGTCCTTTAAATTTTTAACCTAAATTTGGCCATATTAAAAATGGGAAAGCTAAGACACGAGAAAGGAACTGACTTCCTCATAGTCACACAGGGTTTTGCTAGAGGGAGAATCAAGACTAGCATCAGCTCTGTGGACTCCGAGGACATTGCTCTTCCCATGGTCCTCTACTGTCCTCACAGACTACAACAACCAAATGCATATCGGGTAAAATACTGCTCAGTATGCAAGCCAAGCAGATCTTTATGCACTCCAAACCAGAAACCTTTCGTAGGAACCATGAAAATATGATTCTGGAAAAATAATGAAAAGCCTACCACGCTGTGTAGACAACTGGAAGGCCTGCACTAACTACAGAGTCCTCCTCTCCTTCCAAGCTTGTCTCCGTGGAGAGACGCACAAAGCCCCTCAGGTTGGTCTAAGAAATGAGGAGATAGAAAAACAAAGATTGGATAACTCAGCCAGTTTTCTTCTTGTGCCCCAACCCAGAATCTTCAACGTAAGACTGATTTCTAGATTTTCAGGAACTTTGTGTTTTATTTCCTGAGAGAAATCAGCTCCAGGGAGGCAGGCTTATCCCAGCACTACAAAGTCACTGAACTGAACTCCCTGCCAGGGTGACCAGACCTGACCTCAGGAGAATTGCGGCGCTTGGGGCACAGATAGGAAGAATTTCCTTTTCTTGACTGGGAGTCTCTCCACTCCAGGAGTCTTCTGAGACTCGTGGGAATACCTGTTCCCCTCAAAGACCATTTTCTGCTACTTTTAGGAGTTCTCATATATAAAGTCAACCATGAAAGATTCATTTATTTGTCGCTTGAATATGAAATGGATGGAGGAGAGGCTTCTGAATGCAAACGTCCTCCAGTGAGCTGCTAGATGCTTTGGACACATTCAGCCCAGTGTTAGTGAGATACCAGCTCTCTAGAGCTGGGTTTCGCAGTGCCATCCACTCCTCTGCAACTACCAAATCTGGGTCCTTTCTGAGAATTGGTCTGTGAGTGTGCACTCCTTTTCATGACCCAAATGAGTAAATCCTGATTTCCCCCTGTACTGGTTACCAACGCCTCCTACCCCACTCCAATCCAAGGCATGTTTCCATATTACAAACCTTTCAAGCACTCTGGAGAGCTAATCCAGTTTGCAGCTGGGAGCATGATGCCATTACAATGTTCAGAGTCAGAGGGCTCCCTCTATGTGGCTGTGAGGAGACCCCTTTCTGAACAAATGAAAAAGATAGGCTGTTCTGACCAAGGGGGAAGCTTGGAGCCACTCCCATGCTTCTCACTCCCCCCCCCACCGTCACTAGCCCACTCTCACCAGGAACAGGGGTGTCTCACAAGCATGGGGAGCTCAGGAATACTCTTGGGGAGACCCAGAGGTCAAATCAACCTTGTAATTGGCTGCAAGTGGCTCCTTATTACAAGTTCGTGGGTCAGCCTGTCCTTTTGGAGCCCTGGGACCAGGTGAAATTTCTGAAATGTCCTCCTAGGGCTGCAGCCAGGTAAAGGGTTCCTTGCTGTTTTATGCAGTTTTGGGGAAACATGGAAGTGCAGTGAAGATTGCTGAAGTCCAGGGGGTGAAAAGGACGAAAGGTCCAGCTGTGAGAAATCATCCAAGGGCCTCTTCCCTTTTTTTTGTTTGTTTGCATACAGGAACTATAGGTCAGAGGTAGGGGGTGGGGTGAGATGTTTCACCATAGAGAGTGGGGAGCAGAGCAGGCAGATTGACTGAGGGGAGGAGGGGAGCAGTGGGCAAGACAGGAGAGGTCTGCTGCTGCTGGCTGGGGATCAAACTCAAGCTGTAGCCATGATAGCCTGAGACTTAACCCCTAGGCCACAAGAGCCTCTTCCTTAACTGGCTTGTGACTCACATAGCACATCCCAGCTGAGGGTAGCAGGCAAACACAGCCTCTCACCTTTGGTACTGTACCGAGGTCATCCTCACAGTTGCCCAGATGTTCAAAAAGGAGGAATTAGTCCCATTTTACAGAAGAGGAAGTTGAGGCTCAGGCAGGGCCAGTGATTACTAGCATCCAGGACTCTTCAAGCAGCAATTGCTAGTTGCACGAAGAGAACAGAGAGGGAGGGAGCAGAGCTCAGCCAGGGACTGACTGTTGTGAAGGACACTGGGGTAGTCTTGTCTCGGAAGGGTCCTGCCTGCACGCACCCCAGGACTGCACTGGCGCACCGGCCTGCCCCTCCGCCCCCAGCGGCACTGCTCTGTGACCCTTAGCCTTGGCTCCAAACAGACCGGGGCTTATTTCCCCAGAACGCTCTTCCTGGACAGTGCCCCCTGCTCAATCTAATGGGAACAGTTTGGGTCCTGACTTGGCAGGGACACAGTCCTGAAAACATTCTTTCCTTCCCTGCTAACCCCAAATTCTGGGTCCTGGCAGGAGCCTTTTGGGCACCAGGGTTTTACTCTCTAGAAGGAAGTGGTCTTGGCATTAGGAAATGGGCGGATGGTTTCCTAACCTGGGGTCAAACCTTGGGGTTCTGCTGTGGAGAACCCACCTTGGTGGGATCTCTGCCCTTCTGGCCCTCAGTTTCCTCACTTGTCACATCACCGTGCATTAGAGGGCTCTTCTCGGATGTAGTCTCTAGTGATGGGTATTTCCTTCAGTAAACAAACCTTAGGTGCGTGAAGTCGTTCTGTAGGCACGGGGGTTGATGCCGGCAATTCAGCAAGAAGAGCAAGAGCAAGGTATAAGGGTGCCACTTCCCTGAAAAGCTCCTCTGAAACGCTTTTTTGGTCGTGCTTCTCTTCCGTGTTGACTTACCTTTTCAGAAAATGCCCTCCCTTCCGCTGGGGGTTGGAAATTGGCAAAGAGAGGGGGGAAAGGTCCAATTTTCGCCTCTGCTACTTTAGGGGAGATGAAATTACGAGCCAAAGTGGAGTGATGCGCTCGCTCTAGTGACCTCCGCTTTCCCACATAGGAGAAAAAACCCAGGTCATCTGCTTGCGAAGTGGCTCGAGCTCCGAGGCGCGAGGCATTATTACATAAATTCAAGCTCGCTCCTGATCTTAGTACCCTGAGTTGCCTGAAGGGGGGAATGGCACTGCCTGCGTGTGCAGCCCGGGCGCTCGGGCCGCCGCTGCAACCGGAGCGAGGAGCGCCCGCCCGCACCACCTGTCCCCGCCAGCATTCCAGAGTAGAGGCCGAATTGGCAGTGAGCCGGCCCGGATCAGTCGCCGCCTCAGTCCGCGCGGGCCCTCCTAGGGGTGTGTCTCGCGGCTTCAACTCGCAGCCGCTCCCGGACGAGCCCCTGAAGACGCCTTCCTCCCAGGCGGGAGCCGCGCGCGTCCCTCTCTTCGCGCTGCCGCCCCGAGGCCGCCGCAGGCGGATGCACGACCTCCGGAGACGCTGGGACCTGGGCTCCCTCTGCCGGGCCCTGCTCACTCGGGGCCTGGCCGCCCTGGGCCACTCGCTGAAGCACGTGCTCGGCGCGATCTTCTCCAAGATTTTCGGCCCCCTGGCCAGGTACATTTCAGGAGAAAGCGGGACTCGCGCTCCCGGGCCGCCACGCGCGGGAGCCCTGCGGGGAGGTACGGCGGCCAGAGTGGAGCGGAGGGCGCGAAGTTGCAGCTGGCCGGCG